TCCTCCTTTAGTTAAGCTCAATAAAGCATGACTCTATGCATAGTATTATTTTAATTTTGGGTAGAAAAAGTCAAGATATGATTTCTTGCTTGGTCTTGGATTCAGGCAAGGGGATAGTCCCCTTACTACCCTTTACTAATTCACAAGGGGTGGCGTCTGGGTGCCCCCTTTATGAAAGGGGTACCCAGATGCAAATAAGCCCCTCTGCCCGCAGACCCCCACAACTACTGAGCCAGGGTTGTGGGGAAGAGGCCCTTGTCCTCATCGGCATGGGGACAAGTTGCTTTTCCAGGGGTCCCCCCGGGAAAGCGCCCTCCCCATGTCGAGGGCATGTGACCTGATATGGCAAAGGGAGGGGAGGTGCTCGCTTGCCCTGCTAGACCAGTGCCCGGATTAAGGGTCTGGTTTGGAATTTTAGGGGGACCCCACTTTTGTTCATTTTTTACGCTTTGGGGACCCCCTTAAAATTCCTAACAGACCTAAAGGGTCTGATATGACTTTCGGGGGGAACCCCATGCTTTTTTTTATTTTGGGCATTGGGGGTCCACCCTAACACTCCTACTAGACATAAAGGGTCTGGTATCATTTGGGGGGAACCTCCCTCTTTTTTTCTGTAAAAAAAAAAAGAGTAATTTTTTTGTCTTTTGTCTCATGTCACTTTGCAGCAATGAAAATTTGCTTGTAAATACTACCGCTAACGAAAAGTTAACGTTGATGCTTAACACAATAAAACTTCATCCAGGAAAGTAATTTAGATTAGTTTGTTTGTCATTTGGAAATTCAGATGCATCCGAATGTACAAATTTTCCAAAAATTCGCCGAATTACAATTCGGAACAAAATTAATTGCACATGTCTAATAATAATTACAGAGTAAGTGCACTTTAAAACAAACCTCCCCCTTCCACTTACCTAGTCCACCCTTTTCCCTCACAGATGTATACTTACCTTGATATTATGGATGTGTTTCTGCTGTTTGTTTGCATTCAGTGGTGCAAGTGTTCACTGTCCTGGCAATGCCTGCAACCCATAGACTTTTATAGGGATGTGTCCCGAGGCTCAAGGTGATTGGAGATGGTCCCACAGAAGTAGGGTTGTAATGTGCAGGCATGGCCATGACAATGAAGACTGGTACCACTGCATGTAAACCGTGGTTGTCTTATCAAGGTAAGTATGCTTCTGTGGAAGGGTAAGGAGGGTTAGGTGAAATCAAGGTAAGAGGGCAAGAAGGATAAGTGCAGTTTGTTTTAGGGCTTGTTTCAGCAACTACGCAACACCAGTCACTGATGGGGAACATCAATTGTGCGACACATTCCCACCAGTGCATTATCGTGATGTGTGGTGCAGTCCACTGTACTGCAAAATAACTGAAGACATGCTGCATCTTTCCGCACACTACGCTGCTTTACAGAGACCTGAATGGAGTGTACACTTTGTTCACTCCAAATAAAGTTGAAAAAAGTGAACTGTGAAAGAGAACATCACTCTTGGCCTGAACGATCACACCACAGTAGCCCACATGCTAAAACTGAGCATTTTAACACGTGGGCTAGTGTGACCTTAAAGTTTACTTATCCTGTAAAAAGTATAATGTTTTTAGAACACTTCTCTATGATGAAAATTATCTACAATACACCAAATCCACTGACACTTATTTAGGTAAAATAATTTCTAAGGACCTTAGATTCATTTCAGGAAGGTAATTGCCAAGCGATATAAAAACATGTGTACCTTATATTTAATTTTCTCTTCAAGGCCAGGTACAACTGATAACTACCCTTCAAGATGCAGAGACAACAGATCAAGGACATTTATATTGGGTATACTAAAGCAAGATATGAGTTTGTGTCAGTCACACCTGGGCTGTTGCAACATCTGTGACATAAGCAAAGATCATTTATAGAGCTCCTGGATGCTGCTATTTTTACTCGATCAGCGTGAAAAGCTATTAGCCTCAGAAAGTGAGGTCATTAAAACAGATGGATGGACTTGCACTCATTTGATCGTAGCACCATCATGAGTATATTATTATATGCATATATACTCCAGTATTGTAATTTTTTGCTGCTTTTTGTTTTCATTGACACGAAATAGAGTGGGTCAAGAAAAAATGAAGTGTCTTCATTAATCATTGTAAGGCTTTGACGATTTTGGTCACTTATATATTACCCATTTTTAATAACTGCAAGGGAAATGTGAATGTGATTCATCTTCATATTTTTTTTCTTTTCTGCATATTCAATATTTGCAACTGACTTTCATTTAAAAAAATCTAGAAGCTTATATGGGATAACACATCTTTGACAATGTTGAATTTGAGTGGATTAGTTGATAAATCATAAACTACATGGTGTAATCATACTAAGTATGCACTAAACATGTGCTATTTCACTCAAAGAACAGAAACTCCTGTCTTTTAAGCATTCTGTGATACAAAGGTCTAATGCAAGGTCTAATACATGCAGCATAGTGAATTACATTCCGAGGTTTACATCTTTATAGCAAGAATTAACCATATAGTGGTCCTCTAATAGCTAATAGCCCTAGCTTAAAGGAGAACTATGGGGTCAGTGTTTTTCCCCATAGTTCTCCTTAGGGTAACGGGAGGACACAAACTAGCGTCCTCCTGTTACCCTAAGCTCAGTATACTGAGATGCCACAGCCGAAGCGGATCACAACTTAGATGACGGGATCCGCCCAGCTGCATGAGTGACAGCTGGCTCTGCCTATCTAGAGGCAGAGCCAGCTTTACCCTCCCCCGTCCGTTCCGCCAGTCAGCGCTGGCAGATCGGAGCGGGAAGAGGGGAATCCAGCCCCTCCCCCTGCCACGGTGTTCGCTCACCTCCCGATCTACTGAGCCGACCTGTGACAGTCTCATTGTCACAGGTCGGGTAGAACTATGAGGTGAGTGAAAAGCACTCACCTCATAGTTCTCCTTTAATGAGAACCTGTGCTTTTCTCATGTTTTAGACATTAGTATTTAATTTTTTTTTGTCATTGCACTTTTTTATAGTTGTGTGTGGACTAATACTTGTTAGCCAGTTTAACCTGAGGTCATTGATACATGAAAGTTGCTAAAGCGCTGCGCAAACTGTTGACGCTATATAAATACTATATAATAATAATAACAAACAATTGCAAAGTGCTCACTGCAGTTACAAACAATGTTTATCATCTGATTGGATTGGTGCAGGCACTGCTTCGAACAGCACCAACCTATTTTGCAAGAAAACTCAAAGTATTGATGGGTCTCTACCAAATACCCATCTTGTCCTACCCAGAGCTGCCTATTCAGGAGTGCATGGGTGATGTGCTCAGGCATATGTGGTAACTTCATGTCAGAATCAATTAAGGATAGTGTAATCCCAGAAAATGTGTTGAATGAAAAATATATTTTTTACAGCTTTATTTATCCTGACTATATACATATTCACAAACCTACCACACATTCTCTAAAATGTTCTTGTCCCTTTCATGTGGTAGCAATACATTTCTCCCCTTGCTCATATGATTTATGAGTTGATATTTTAGAAGACCCCCTAGAAATTACATATCACCACCATTTATTCTCCTGTTTTGCTTCCCTTGTGCTAAGGTACGTTAATGTGTGTACTGATGTTGACTTGATTTTGATTATTCATTCTCCTTAACCTTGATTATTTTGATGCCTGTTTGAGTACTATCCCTATACTGTACCAATGCACTCTTTCCTTTCTATCCTGGATTGAGGCACAAACATTTGATCCATCCCAACTATCTACTAAACTACTTTAACCCAAAAGCTATATTTTAGTATGTCTGGCATAATTTCTCACTGAATACAATGCTCATCTCCTGCTTACCTCCAGGTAAGAACATTTTCAACAGATTCACACAAAAAATTTGCTTTAGAAAACTGTATACAGTGAAGCATGATGCCAAACATAATGTAAGTACATTTTGGGTTTACATACAACCTAACCAACAAAGACACTAGTACCTAGTTAAAAAACAAATAAACCACAGGAAGTATTACATTCTAAAACACTCTCCATGGGAAAATATCAGCTCTGTTTGGGCAGTAAATTGTTTTTAGCATGCTGGACTGTGTTGACTACAATGCTAAATTACAACTTTTATTTAATGGATAATACTGTCTACTTGAGGTTTTATGTTTTTTTTATATAGGTAGATATAGCTAAACACAAACATTTAAATTGTATTAGCCGGTGTGACGAATTTATAACATACATATTAGTGACATCTATAAAACTTTAGCTGTTCACCTTGTGAACCTGACAGGTTATGGTGCAGTGCAATGCAGTATCTGTACAATAAACCAGTAGTTAAGGGTGTACAGTTGGCCAAAAGGCATAGAGGAGCAATTTGGATGGCTCCAGTCTTTAATATAAATAGAGGCAATATCCCATTATTTTGTAATTTATGGTGGGATGAGACATGTAGATATATTTGCTCAATGAAGGTTCTACTGTGCTTGACAAATAAATGTAAAATACATTGATATTGGGCCATTTGCAGTGAGTAGATGTTCTGTATATGTTAAACATAATATGTGTACGTGTTTTATAAAACTACATACAGTACAAGACAAAACAATTATGTCCAATGTATACAGGGAATTGTATTTCTAAATGCAGTTTCTCTTCAACAATAGTAATGGGCATTGACATGTTTGTATGTGTCCAGCAGTCATGGTTCATCTCTACTGATAATGCAGTACTGTAACGCACTGCAAGGAGACTGTACTTTGGGTTCAGTGTGCATGTCCAAATTTTGCTGCAAGACTAAGCTGTAATAAAAGTGTGTAACTTCTCCATTCATCTCTAAAGAATAATGTACTGAGATCTAAAGAAAGATCCAGGTTGCATCTCTACAGATCAAGTGGACACAATATACACCATCTTAAAAACAACTCTATAGATATTCAAGCAGTCATGTGAAGTGTGTGTAAAATTGTGTATTCACTATTTTTAATGCTGCTGTGTACCTTTCTCTCTGCAGTTTGACATGCAACGGATAACACTGGAGGAACTAAAGCACATTCTTTATCATGCATTTCGTGATCACTTAACAATGAAGGACATTGAAAACATAATCATTAATGAAGAGGAGAGTTTAAATGAAAACTCTGGAAACTACCACACAGAGTTTGAAGGAGGTATTGTCCATATAGATTGCATTGCTTTATTTATTTATGTTTTAATTTTGAATGTGAATTTTATTTTAATTTAGGAGTGTTTTGAAATATACTTGTATATTATAGGATGAAAAGAAAGAATGGAATAGTGCAGGAGTTGGGAAAGATTCATTTACCTTATTTTTTGCTCCATAAGACGCACTTTTTTCCCCCCAAAACGGGACCAAAAATGTCTATGCGTCTTGTGGAGCAATTTCGGGCGCCGGGCGAGTTGTTTTTTTTTGTACATTCAGCCCTGCTCCGGACAAGCAGAGCTTAATGTACAGTGGGAGCCGCTGATCGTTTAATACAAGTGATCTAATCACTTGTATCAAATTGAGCGGCGGGGGCGATCGTGTCCGGGGCCCCCCCGCCGTGGTCTTCGGGGTCCCCCGCTCCTCTGGAGGACCCGTGACCATGCATAGGAGCTCACCATAGAGCCCTAGAGCAGACGAAGAACGCCGTTCTTCGTCTGTTCTGTGTGATCACTGAGACCGAGGTGCTGTAATCACAGCGCCACCTGTCTCAGATGCCACTAACTGCAGCTGTCACAGAAAACCTACCCTCCCTGCGTCCTATGGTCAGGTGTGCTTTATGGTTGCCTATTTTAGTACTATCCTCATAATAAAAAGTTAGCTTGACTACTAATGCATGATGAGTGATTAGTGAAAAGGGGTGAGTGATGAACAAACAATGAACTTCTCACCATAAATAAAAAGCAATATGATGAAAACAGAAGACAACTAAAGTGATGACTAAGCAAGGACTGATGCTTGCCCAGTCATGTGTAAATAATGAGACAGTTAGGGTAAGAAATTACTATTGAGCAAAAAATTAGTGATTTTGAGACAATGCCTAATTTATTATAGGTAATAGGTAATGATTCTATATTTCAACTTTTCTAATATCAATATACAGTATAGCTCACTACATTACCCTGCTTCGAATTGACCTATTATGTCTTAGGGGTTGATTTACTAAGGCAAATATGCTGTTTACTTTGCAAGGGAATTTGCACTTTGTAAGGGTTTTTTTTTTCTCATTAGCTTAGTGAAAGAGGTAAAGCTGCACTGTCTTTCATCATCCATTCATATGCAAGCCAAAATACATTTTTTTTGTAATTTTCATTTCTTGTGATTGGATATTATTTGCAAAGTTAATTTTTACCGTATTCACTAAGCTATGGGAAAATTCCCTTGCAAAGTGTAAATTCCATTTGCCTTTAGTAAATAAACCCCTTAATTGTACTCACCTACATATGTAGATTACTTCACTTTTGTGTTAAAAGTCTGAGGAAAAACAAACAACATGCTTAGTGGTTCCCCGTTAAAAAATAAATAAAAAAATATGTTTAATTTTACTTGATAGCCTACATGAAAGGTTGAGTGTCTGACTGAGAGACATTGAAACCATGAGACATGACCAACACAACCAGAGAAGCAATTATCGCCTCTACAATATAAAAGGCAAAACATATGTAATATAAAGCCTTACTTTTGTGTTAGCAATAGGTAAAAAACACACAACATGGTCACATTTGCTGTCCAACACCACCAGTAAACTGAAAGGGCAATTTTCATTACACCAATTCTGTGCACCCTCCACTGGCTGCCAGTCACTCTTTAAGTGAGAGAAGTACCATGCACTGTCACTGTATCTCCTTGCTATAGAAGAAGGTTTGCCAGACAAAGGGGAGGTTAGGAGCCATCATATAGGAGTGTGCCATAGGCCTCAGGAATTGACTTTTATGAACAAACACATAAACATTAAATTATATACACTGACTAAAAAAGCAGGATACAAGTAAAATCCTGGTTTACAAAAATTGGTTTAATTATCTCTAGTAGTAGCCTGCAGCGAGAGTAATGTTTTATCAAGAATACTATGGTAGATTAACTAGAAGACTCTTAGGGGTCTATTCACAAAGCTGCCGAAGGATCTGGCCGTAGCTTCGGCCGATCCTTCGGCTGGCTTCGGCCCCAGGACCCCTTCGGTTCAGGAGAACCGAGGGGGTGCTGTACGGGCTATTCACAATAGCCCGTACAGCTCCCGATCACGGCCGAGCAGCTCAGCCGTGCTGAAAGCCGAAGCTGGCCAAGCTGCCAGCCATTGACCTGCCGACAGCCTGCTTCTGACAGCTGGGCGGAGCCAGCCGACGGAGGTTCGGCTCAGCCGATCCAGATGTTGGATCGGCTGAGTCGAACTTCTTCTGCACTTCGGGTCAGCCGAACATGCTGAGCATGTTCGGCTGATCCGAAGCCACACGAAGCAAGCCGATGTACGGCTGATTTCATCCGATATACGGCTGAAATCAGCCGTACCAGCCTGAAGTGAATAGCCGAACAGTGTATTATTATAGATTATATTTTTATCTTAAAAAAGATTATTCATGTTCTTTAACAGTAGCAATATGGTATCAAGATATTTGGCAGGTTGTGAAAGTATAGTCATATTTAAACTGTAATGACAAACAAAAGTAACCTGTAAAATCTGGATATATAAACCCTTTTTTAGGAAAATACACTGTAACCAAAGGTTAGGAGTAGCACAAATATGATTTTACAGCTGCTCTGCTGTTGATTGTATTTCCTTATGTTATCAATGTTTGTCAGAGCTGAGTTTACTACTCCAAACTAAATAGTGTCCTTCTGGAATCCAGATTAAATCCAGCCTTAGCAATTCATTCTCCATCTGCAGCTAAATGCATTCAAGAATGGTGTTCAAACAATGAATTCCCCAAAAAACAAAAACAGCAAAGCATAAATTCTATAAATGATGTAAATATTGTATATTGTGCATGTAACATGCTACATATCTAAACAGACATCTACATAATGTTATTAACAATAACAACACAGAAATATACTTTTAGCGCACATACAGAATGCTTAATGATTTTGTCCCTGTGTTTAGATTTTAACAGACCATCATGACAAAAACATTGATGCAATGAGAAACATTTACAGGGTTAGTCACTAAACAGTGAAGAGTTTGGAGAAGGCAGGAGAAGTGAACAATCTAGGACAACATAGCTGAAGTAGAAAGTGTGCTGCATTGGAGAATTTTTCCAAATCAGCTATTTTGGCCTAGATTGTTCACTTCTCTTGCCTTCTCCAAACTCTTCACCCTTTTGTGAATAACCCTGTTAGCCATCTATCTGTAGTTTGATACACTAAGCAATTACCTGCATGTAATGAAGCAGCTTAAGTTAATGGCTAATACTGTGGAATGTTAGCAGAAATAACTATTTTTTAGTTAATATATATGATACACATCATGTATTCTATTACTTGTACTGTAATCCTATATACTTTTAAAGTAGCATTCCTTAGTGAGGTATTTTGTCTCCTGTACTTAATTTAGCTTTAGCAGGCATTGCCACCATGACACAGACTGTTCCCTCCGATGTAACTACCTCCCCAGAACACATATTGTTTACTCCAGCGTATACTGCTTTCCCTCGGATTCTGACTGTCTTCCATACTAACTGCACACCAGCACACTAATTGCTCACCCAGGAAGTCAATCTCTACCCTAGCATTGTTCTCTCTTGAACGCCCACTCTCTCCTCTATCTGTTTTCTCACTCCTAGACTCTTGCTTTACAGCTAACTCGGCAACAAGCCTTTATCCCTGTATTTCCAAAGCTCTGTTATGCAGCACAGTATCCTAAGATTGCATCAAAACACACTTCTCACCTGAAAAGCCACTTTGCTAGTGCTCTGTTTACTGGACAGAATGCTATAATGCTGGTTTGATCCACACCTTCTTTTACTTCCAAAAGCCCACAAGCCACTGTTCTCCTATGGTCAATAATACAACTAGGTATGTTCAGACACCAGTGCCAATACTTGGCATTTTCACGAGAACTACCAGCATTGCAGCAGTTACAGCTGAGACCTGGCTCTGGTGCTCCACCACTGTCCTGAAATCATTAGTCTGTATTTAATTTTTTTTAAACTGTCATATGACAATAAACAAAAATGTATCAGTACTTGTATCTGTGAGTACTTGGACAAGTATCAGTACTTGCACTTGAAAAAATGGTATCGGTGCATCCCTTTATTTAATTTTTCTCGTGTAGTCTTTTCGTGCTGGAAAAGTATCTGTTCATGTACTTGTACTTGTACCGAGTACGGTACTTGGTATCTGAACGTCCCTATTTTTATCTTCACTTCAGATATATGCCTGCCCTGTACTTAGTCCCCAAATTGCCTCCACAGTTTCTGATGCTGGTCTGGAAACCTCAAATCCCTCCTCTTCTGGTATATGTCTCCCCTTCACTGATTATCTTTGCCCACAGAACCTGCCTCCACCATCCCCCTCCCCATCTCCAATATATATCTCCAACAAGTTAAATTCTATACTAAGCTTTTTATATCCCTTTAGAATATCCGGCTGTTCTCATTAGAATGCCGAATTCAACTAACATGATTGGGTCACTAATTTTTTAAACTTTTTTGTGATTTAGCATTAACCAGCAACTGGGGATGCCAGCTAAGGCAGACTAAATGAGTAAAACATGTAGCTTATTTGTGTATCAATTGGCATATGCAAATATGTTAAGAAAAGAACCTTCTACCCTTGCATCCCTCCTATCCTTTCTTAGCATATTTGTATATGCCTATTTAAAGGGTGTTGTTGTTTGATTATGTTGTCATTCCTAAGCCATGAAGGGGACCCTGTGTGGCCCGAAAGCAATTGCACTTGGATGGCATCTGTCTATAATTAAATTTACTAAATTCACTCAATTATTGGTGTGCTGGTGACATTCTTGGATTTATTGTATACTGCCCGGTGTCACTCATGGTCACTACGAGCACCAACCTGGATTTCACAGGATTACCTACAAACCGGTAAGGAGTGCAATGAGTTGCATCTATATTTCACAGTCTAGTATCCAGAACACTTATAGTCGCCACCACCATACAATCTGATGATAACAACAATATAAAATGTATATATAACAAGACTTCAGGGTTT